ACCTTGCAATATACACAGACACAAATGTGTGCAGGGGAAGGAAAAGAGAGAGGGGGAGTAAGAAAGGCAGGACAAGAAGGAAGGACGGACAGAAGGAAGGAAGGAGCCTTAACATTGCTGATCAATATGTGCTTAGCACCTGGAAAGCAAGCTGAACAGGCACAGGTCCTTGGTTTTTTGGAGAGGGGACTCTGTGTTTGTGCATGTCTTTCATTTTGCACTCTCTCTCTGTGTGTGTGTGTGTGTGTGTGTGTGTGTGTGTGTGTGTGTGTGTGTGTGTGTGTGTTTATACACATGTATTGATTCTGACAAATGTGGAGTTTTCGAATATTTTTCTTTCTAGTATACTGTTGCCTGTGTTTGCAGTAGATTGATTATTTGTTGCCTTGCCTCTTCTTTTTTGGAATTACTTTAAAGGGTTCTTTCGGGCTTTCAGAGTGCCAAAAAATACAAAGAGGAACTCCAATATGAAAGAATGCAAAAGAGGCTTTCCCTTTCATGTAAAGCAAAAAGACCAATGGATGAAAAATATGAGAATAAAAAAGGTACTCTCAACAAAACCCCAAATGAAAAAATAAAATAAACAAATCACCATTCACATCCCTCCTCCTGATGTCATAGCTTTCAGTTTCCCCTCTCCACCCCCCCCATGACCCTGCAAATTCCCCCCAGTGGAATGGAATGGGAGCAATGATGTCACAAAGCCCATGTCATTGCTAAGTCAACATCTGTTGTTGTTATGTGTCCTGAAGTCAGTTCTGACTTCAGATGGCCCTATTAATTAATGACTTCCAAAATGTCTTATCATTAACACCCCATCATTAACTCAACATTACTAGCCAGTACTGGCATGGAGGGCGACCTGATGAAAAAGGATGATGCTCTGTGGACCCAGTGGATCTCAGGGGTTGGGGGACAGGATTAGCAAAATTATTTTCCCCATGGGGGGGGGGAATGACCTACTTTCTATGAAAAAAAATTGAAAGAAAATTGGTTTGGGATTCCGTTCAGGAGCAGAGCATTGTAAGTGAAAGTGCAGGAAAACCTTCACCTGAATCCCCGCGTTCCCTGAAAAAGAAAGAAAACAATTAAAATTTCGTAAAAGAGGTTTGATGGGTCCCCGAGCTCCATTCAAAGTCATCAGGTCTCTGCCGCCAAAAGACTGCGATGCACAGAGACTTATATATAGCTGGTAATTTACGTAAAGCAAGGCAGCAGATGGTTCGGCAATTTAGCAATTACCGGGTGTTAGAACATGTAGATCTCGGCTTTATGTAGAATTTTATTATTCCTAATTGTCTCACCTTTTTTTAATTTTACTTTGTCTTTTAAAAAATCTGGAAAAAAAATCTTCTGTTTTTTTTCCCCCCTTCTTCTTATTCCTCCCTTTCTAGAGCTGGCCGAAGGAGGATCAATCATATTGCCCTGTTTCTAGAAGCCCCTTAAGGGATCCTTGTTTGTCTGGGTAGATAGAAGGGGCATTTAGTTACAAGGTTGATTTTTCCCCCCAATTTGTCCTTAAGGATAAGTCACGTTAAAGGTGTAATCGTAAAAAATAATTGCCAAGCATAAAGCTTTCGTGAAAATGTTGTGCCCATTACAAATTGTCGTTGCTTTCTTATTGGGCTCTGGTGGCATCCTGCGCTAATGCACTTCGCTATTTGCCTCCGGAGAGAGTGGGTTCAAATCCTGGGTAAGGTCACACATGCAATGAGCCCGTTGGGCCTCGGCATAGCTGCCATGGAGGGCATTTGGCGGCTGCCTTTAACAGCCTGCTTCCTTAGTAATTGGAAGGAGGATGGTCTATTTAGTTACAGCAAAGATGACTGGGGGTTGTGGGGGAGACCCAGGAGGGCCTTTAACATAGATGCCTGTAAACTTGTTGTGTCTCTCTGCCAACGCAGCTAGAAATTCTAGGGGGAAGGAAGGAGGGAGGGAGGGAGGGAGGGAGAAAGAGAGTCGTGCAGACGAAGTCCATAACGCTGGACCCGTCTGTATGGTAATGGGTACCGGGCTGTGATTCCATATTAAGAAAGGCCCAGTTCACTTCAGTGCCACTCCAGGATGCCTAAAATGAGGATTATGTTGATCCTGGGTAACTAAGCAACCCCAACCTCAACCTGCACCGTGAACTCTGACTTTAGTGATACAGCATCTCCTTCATGTGCAAAAGGTTTCATTTCATTATGTTGCCTGCCTGCTTGGTTGTTTAGTGAATTTCTATCCCAGCTTTCCACTAATAATGGGTGTCTGGTTCAGTCTCCAGCATCATCAGCTGGAGCTTGGGAATATCTCTGAAGCTTGAAAACTCCAAAAAGTCATTCCCAGTCAGTGTCAACAATCGTGTATTTGATTATCTGAGCCCGTAATTAAAGCTGAAAGTGCATTAGCATTGAAAAGACATGACTGAGGTTGACTTTCACATTAGTGAAATATTGTCTATATAACATCTGTTTCTGCTCAAAGGAATTCTCTGTTTAAGCACTAAGAAACCAGTCCCCCCCCAAAAAAGTGAGAGAAGTTCCTGCTGTGACAATCACAAAGAACCAGCCCTTTCAGATTTGTCCGTTCAACTTACAACCTATCTGTGATTCAGCTTCTACTCTGACTTTTTACAGTGAAGCCTTCAATGCGTCTGCTATTGAACAGATTTCTAAAATTAACTCAGGCTGATAGATTGCCTATCATCCTCATTTGGAGGGAGGTAGCAGCAATTGCTGCTGCTGCTGTTGCTACTGTTGCCACAATGTCGATCAGGTTGAGAGAATGACCCAATGTCACTCAATACATTTCATGACTTATTTATTTTATTACTTATTTATTTATTGGATTTCTATCCTGCCCATCTAGACCAAAGGTCTACTCTGGGCAGTTTACAAATTTAAAAACAATAAAACCAAAAACATATAGGTCCAAGATGGTGAAGTATAAGAAATTAAGACATGGCAGGAGGGAAAACCTGCCCAAATAGGCAGGTTTTAAGTCTATTCTTAAAAACACCCAGCGAGTGAGCCAGGCAAATCTGCACTGGCAAATTGTTTCAGAGGCGAGGGGCCACTGCTGAGAAGGTCCTTTTCCTCGTCCTTTCCCTCTGGACCTCCCCCGGCATTAGGCCCCTCAGCTGCCCGGCCTGGCTGGAACTAGTGACTCTGGCAGCACTGGGTGGGAGAAGGCGCTCTGCCAGATATCGAGGTCCTAAACCGTTTAGGGCTTTATATGTAATCGTTAACAACTTTGAAATCAACGTGGAAATGAATGGGCTGCCAATGCAAGGCGGCCAGCGTGGGGGAAATATGTTGGTATCTTTTCACCCCTGTAA